TTAGTAATAGTGAAGTATATGTAGAAGATATTCCAAAACTTTTTGTTGGTAATAGTGTCCTTGAATTTACTAACAAAATTCGAAATTTAGGCTTCGTCGTTAATTCTAAGCTGAACTCTGCCCATATAAATAAAGCGGTGAGTAATGTGTATTCTGTTTTACGTAGATTGAGAAGGTCAGCGTCATTTACGCCTTTGGAGACTCGAAGAAAGCTAGCTATTCAACTCATTGTACCACACATAACGTACTCTGAGCTTGTATACATATAGCAAGCTTGATTCCATTTCGGATCACAAAATTGATGTTGCCTTTAATAATGTTACGCGTTATGTTTTTGGTTCAAAAAATATGACCATATCTCCTTCTGGAGGAGCAAAATTCTTGGATGCAGCATCTTTCAATATCTCGCAGCAAGAAACTATGTATACATTTACAAACTTATTCAATTCAAAACACCGAAATACATTTACGAAAAGTTAAAATTAACTAAGTCTTGCAGCCACACAAATCTTATTATCCCTAAATACTCCTATTAGTCTTCCTCGAGACTGTTTTTCGTCAATGCGGTGAGGCTTTGGAACTCCGTTCCTGATAGTGTTAGGTCTGCAATGGATAGGGGCAACTACGGGGGGATAATACATGAATACTTTAATTCTATGAGGTAAATGTGATTGCAACTCAGCTTTTCTCTCCTCCTTATTTATTTCTTTCTCTTTTATATTTAATTGTTAAGTTTTTTTTATAGGAGTGATAATTACTATTATTTAATGTTAAGTTTTAATATTAATTTGAAGAATTATTTTTTTGTATATAAATTTAAATTTATTGTTATCACTTATTTGTTTCATGTTAGGGTTAAGATTCTAATTTTTTAAATTAATGTGCGCTGATGTATTATAAAAGACTGAATAGTTTTCAAAATACAACCAAATTTCTTAATTAAATAAATAAATAAATTAATAATTCATTAATTATAAATAAAAATATAATTTTTCCCAATAAAAGACATTTGATGGCATTTGATCTCTAACAGCCAGTTTCACCAAATTATTTAAGTGAAAATTGCTTTAATTTTCGAATTTTCAGTTTCACCAATCAATTTTAATTTCGATTTAAGTGACCTATGCTCTGCACTTAAATAAAAGTTAAATCAGAATAACCACACTCAGAGGTGTTACACGTTTAATCACCTGATCATTGTGTATCTGCTGCTTACTTGTATACCAGCCCTGCTTTTACAACACAGCGTGCCAAAGCTAGTCCTAGTCTGTTTTACAACCACTTTTTACTCACTTAAATAAATAGTTTATTGAAACTGAAAATTATTTAAATGAGAATTAAATACAAAATTAAATTAAAGTTAATTTCCACTTAAATAGTTTGGTGAAACTGGCTGTAAATGTACTCAAAAAGCATTAAATAAATGAAAGTACTTGATTTAATAACAATTTATGAGGTTATTTTATGGAGAATTTTAGTTTCTCGGCGGCTTAGTATTATTAGCAGATTGGTTTTTTGATAAAAATTTAAATCTATTAAGATTTAGGACTTCGACTGAATTTCAAGATAAAATATGCAATTTCTTCCCACTGTATACCGGTGTCGCCACCGCCGCACTTCTCGCGGGGGATATTTTTCTAAGTACCAGTTTGATTCCCTAATTAATCTACCGATTTCGCTTATGATAGTTCCTGATAGATCGGTTAGTTGTGCCATTAGGTTTTTACCTAACATTCTTTCTTCTAACTGATGGGCACAAGATCTTCGTTCTTTCCTAGTCAGGCCATGGTGTTCTCGATATCTTACAAGCCTGTATATCTCTTTCGCCCATACCCTGCCTTTGCCAATTCATCAGCTCTCTCATTGCCTTCTAGGTTAATAGGTACAGAATCCAGACAATAGAGACGGCATTTGACTGAGGCACTGAGCGCAGTACCATTGTCCATTCCCTAACTAGCTTAGATTTGGTAACCGGTTATGTTATTGCTAATAGGACCACTTGGCTTCGAGGATACCTAGAATTTCCGCTTGGAAGATGCTTGTATCGTTGCGCAATCGTAGAGACAGAGCAACACCGAGTTCCTCGGAGTAGACTCCCGCACTCACACCACAATCCATCATGGATCCGGTGTATAAAGATGTAGCCTATTTATTTGCCACTCGGTCTCTTTTGGAAGGGAATAAGACTTGCACACTACAGCTGAAGTCTAGATTGCATACCATATAGTCCGAAATGTCTAGTCCCCCATAGGCATAACTCCGAGTCTAGCCGCCGATTTAATAGCTACATCTTTCAAGTGAAGATCGATAGGGATCAGGTTGAGGATAGCATTTAGCACTTCTGTCGGGCAGAATCTTACTGCACCTGTTATTGCTGTGCTTGCTGTCCTTTTTATGATTCTTAGTTGCTGAAACTTTGGCGCCCCTCTGTTGTGTTCTAGCAGAATGCCTTTAAGCGTCATTGCCCATAGCAGGGGTGAGAGCACATCGCCCTGTGGTGTGCCTCTGTTCACATAGTATGTTATAGAGTTATTCTGTTATATCGCGTCTATTGTATCCATCTGCAAACACCATCATCAACATTTAGAATTCAGCGATGGCATTGACCTCAATATTATTAAATGCATCTCAAGCAACCTCGCCAGAATATATTGTTTAAAGTGCAAGAATTATTTTATTAGACATGTAAGGCAGATTCAGTGGATCTATTTAATGTACGCCTGTTGTATTGTTGGGAGTGTTGCTTCTCCGAGAGCGATTTTATTTAAACGTCTAGGAGCCGTTCAATTTTGTAAGAGAGATCTAAAATCTTTTGGAAGGCGAGAAGTTATTTATAGCGCATGCAATATTATATCTGCTCACGATGTTGTTGCAGCAGATACAACAACCCCGCCCAGATCGGCTAGTACCTCAATCGTTGTCGTCAAGCCTATAGGATCCGTCCATAAGGACAGAGTCGTTAGTTAACTGGAGTTTAGTGGGAATGCAAAGAGATGTCTCGAGTCGTGGGGTGTCTCTCCGCATGCCGGGTACTCGTTTTTGCACATCCGCATTTAATCTGTCTCGTCTACGTCTGGTAGACGTGTGCCCAAAACGGAATTCACAGGTCGGTAGTCTATGTAACTGGAGACCGACTCCCTCTGAATGCCGTTTAAGGCCTGTCGGTATGCTGTCGGGGCCAGAGGCTGCTTTATAAACCTCTGCACTTGGTCTGTCAGTTCGTATAGGTGCCTTCAGACGTGCCGTGCCGAGGACTCTTCCGCAAGCAAGCCCACGTCGGTGACACCCTACTAAGAATTGCTAGCAGAGTACTGTGTTATGCTCCTGAATTGGGAGCATATGAGTCTCGGCATGCAGGTGATGTTGCGGCCACATCAAAAGGCATCCGGTTACTGTCTGCAGTGCCGTGTTCTAAGTAGTAAGTCTGTAGCTTCATCCACTGCGCCCTACTATTCCCCGGCGAACACATAGGCCTGCATGGTTTAGAACCGACCGACCAATTGCCTTGTACGTTGCTCACGATCGAGTCGTATGCTTCTAGACAGGAAATATTGAATCTGATGTGGTTGGATCCAGAATACATCCTGGGAAATGAAACTTGACTACTGTCTCCCTTAAGCTGAAATTAGTCAAGAACGTAAACCTACCGGTACGTAAACCCGAGTCAGCTGACACGATCTGTCTTACCAAAGCGCCATGTAAATGAAAACTCAGCACCGCAGAATTTTTCTGTAGTTGTAGCCCGTAGGGCAGAAATCTGCGGAATTTAGATTTTTCCGTGTCAGCTGATTTCTCCTTCGTTAGATGGCTGCCACTTCGTCAGTTTTACTGATGGTAAAAAAGATATAAGTTCCTACTCAAAATATGTTTAAAATATTTGAAATTTACTATTGAATAAGGTTTTTGCTGAAAACTAAGTAGTTTATATTTAGCTAAAATCTATTATAGCACGAAAAATTGTAGTTGAAAGGGTAAGTTTATGAAAAGGCATTGATGAGTGGCAACAGTGTAGTAAGCAACACTGAGGGCTCCAGTAATCGGCAAAATTCTGCGTATACAGACTGCGTTTAATGCAGCGTTTTTGCTGCATTTAAAATGCAGCATTTAGCACTTTCGAACATATGTTTTCGAAGAGCGTTCATGCTATCGCATTTAGCAAATGTACATTTACGCGAGTTCGAAATCGTATGCTTTTGACAAACAGCCGTGTTCCAGTCGCTTATTCAGATCCGTATCCATTACGATAAATTCTCACGGAAAAGATAATGTGCAAAAACCCCTACTGAAAAGGAAAAATAAATTCTAAACCGAAAATTCAATACAAAAACCTGAATTGTTTTAACCATAACCGAACATTTGTTTGTGTATATATTCATTTGTCGGTGCTGCCAATTATATTTTCCACACCTAATTAGGAAACAAAACAAACAGAGTTGATCACAAATTAATCCAGATTTCTATCAGCATCATATCGATGTTGAATTTGCGTAACTTTTCTTTATCCAAATAATGTAAAATAATAAATGAAATCTCGATCGGCGATCACTGAAACGCAGCTAGCGGTTGTATACTCGAAAAAGCAATGTTGCCACTTTTTCTCATTAAACCATGTTCGAATCGTAGAAATTTTGGAAGATCACAGGGATGCTTTTAGCATTTAGATTCTAAATGCAAAGATTGTGTTGCATTTAGTTGCATTTAGATGACGAATTTTGTATGGATAAATGTACATTTAGAGTAGCATTTAGAGCTAAATGCGCTAAATGTACATTTACGCGTAAGCAAAAACAGCCCATAAGTATACGTTCTGCGTTCTCGACTAATTTCAGCTTTAACGAGCATGATATTGGTGTGTTCTTTCGATAGGATTTTTTAATCGTAATCACAACCTTCGATTAACGAATAAAAAAAAATTATCATTAATCGTACCGATGACTACGATGTATTAATTTTAATCGTTAATCGCGATTAACATTTTAATCGTTATTTTTTAATCCTTAATCAAATTAACATTTTGCCAACACTGCATACATACATAATATGTATATCCAAGAGCTATTACATTCTGTCCTCTAGGTGAGGTTCTCTTGTTCTTTCTACTCTTATCTCTTTGTAATGGATTGCTTTTCCCGTCTCCTCAAAAAAAAACAAGGGGCGATATCTTTTGACGCAAAGCAGACCATGTCTGGTGTCGGTGGCTTCACAGTGAATATTATTGAGGCCAGCCGTATATTGTGCTTTACCGAAAGAAGAATACGTAATTCTGAGAGTTTTTTCTTCCGCTTAGCACATAATTCGATGTGGCGTCGTGAAGATCGTTACCTCGATATGTTAGAACTAACCAGCCTGGTTGATAAAGCTGCGAATGGTGTGGAGGCTTATATCTGAGAGCTCTTTTAACGATATGAACTCATACATATGCCCTTAGTATGCTATACCTGCTCCTCATTAAAGTGGAAATTTGCAAAGAAGGTACTCTACTTTTTCCGGTTCGGTTTTGTTCCTGTAGTTTGTACAGAAGTCGTTGTAAGCGCTGCCAGGCCTTCTCGCATGGGTGCCAACCGGTCAGTGCCCAGTAAAAATCGCCACTAGCCTTGCGGCGTCAGGTTTGGTGTGTTTCTTAGGGTTGTCGTGGTTGTAGCAGCATACAAGTTCCCTAAAGAGTTCCGGTTACGTCCGATACTAATTTGATTCAAATCTGATCAATGCATCATGAAGAAATTACCCTATAAACATTTTGGCGAACGTTCGAAAAAGACCTTCGATATCCAATGTGCATATCAAACTGAGAACGAACTCATAGCCCATCTTAGTTTTCCAACGTTCATAGTGTATTGGAAATATGCTTGAGATGGTTTCGAAAAAAAAAAAATAAAAACCATAGAAACAAGAGAGGAAGTGAAATCTAGCTCATTTTCGAAGAGAAATATAAGACAATCACTATGTCTAATTAAATTTTAATACGTTGGATAACGAAGGTTCCGTTTTACTGGAGAATGGCCTTGTTCTCGAATCGAATACTAATCTATTCCACATTATTTATCGAAGGTGAGGCTGAAAAAAGAATTATTAACCGAGCCCAATTTAACGATAATCTTAATTTTTTTTATGAGAATTGAAGTCGGTTTTGTTTTTTGCTTAAAAATTACTAGTTGCAAGTGAAAACTCCTTTTCTAAAGCTAATTTTAACGAATTGGCGCAAAATATTTTAGTGGTAGTCTCAATTCTCAAAAAATCCCAATTTTCCAACTAATCAATTTTAATAATTAACTCACACTCATTCCACTAACAAACCAAGGACCATAAATATTGTACATTTTAATTTATTTAAGTTTAAATATTTGTATGTATGTATATTTATTTATATGAATAAAGGTGCACGCCGCAACAGTCCAAAGGACATATGCAACTCGCATGTGTTATTGATCTTGATTTTGTTTAAATTAGTAACAATTTCAAGTGCTAAATACAATTTTACTTCTTGTTACTTGTGTTGTTGTAGTAACGATCATTAAATAAGTTAGTGGTAGTGAATGCTTATGCTTATAATTTCATATATTAAGAAATAAATTTTAGAATTAAATGTTATATGTGAACAAAAGAAAATGTAGAAATAAAGTATAACTGTTCACTCTGAAAACCCAAAGACAGGCGACATCGATGCAATCGCCTAGAGCTTGCGGCCTATCATGTTGCAGCTTTTTGTACCTCTACCGCCGGCCCAGATGTGTTTGCTGATGGTGTCGCCCTAGATTCACTCCCCGTCAATGTTGAATTGACGCTTGCCAAAGAAGCTTTGGCAGCAGTGTCAACCGCATTAGCGTTTTCTGCGCTGACTGTTGTCGCTATTAAATCTGAATGTTTTATCGGAGGAATAATGGAAATCGCCACTGACTCATCAGCTGGCGAAGGTCCGTTATTGTTTTCGCCAATAGTTGGTGAGGTGGCTGCCTTGCACGCATTTATGTTATCGGCAGTGGTAATATTGTCGCTACTGGGTGTAGAACTACTAATGGCATTGGATACAGCAACTGCGTTCGGTACTAGCGAAATTACTGAGTTGTTATTGGCATTTTCCATAGATGCACCCGATAGAGATAACTCATCAGCCGAATCGTCCGCACCATCTGTTTGAATTCCCTTTTCTTCCAACATATGCTCATTGATTCGAATTGGTTGATTGGCAGAACCAAATTGTTTGGAAATCTGCAGTAGTTCACGCAAAATTTGATTCTCTTTTCGCAGTCGAGACATGGTTTCCATATCCCGGTGGACAGCGTCATCATCCACAGAAGCTGCACGCTGCATTACAACGGCCATTTCCCTGATTTTGGCGCGCTGTTCACGTATGATTATCCACAGTTCCTCATTATATACTTCTTTGAAGTTAATTTTGCTTTCGAGTATTTTGCTGGTTGTATGTTCGCGATATTTTTGCATTATGAACTCCATGGTGCGTTCATAATCTTCAATGCATATTTTTAGCTCTCGATTTTCTTTCAATATTTCTGAACTGGTAGCATTTTGCTGTTGTATACGATTCACCATTTCAGAATTCGATTTGTTGTTGGAAATTCGGTTTAACGAATCCATATCATCTTGAAATTGTCGCAAACTTTCGACCAAGCGATTGTTGCCTTCTGCTTCTACCAGCAAAGCATTACCCAACAGTTCTAAATCTTTTACGCGACTAGCAATACGCTGTGCGTCCATAATTATTTGTCCCACCGACATATTCGACATCTTTGGTTGAAATGGGTGATACTACAACAACCGTATAGGTTGCGTGTTGTCCAATTTTTCTTTTGTGGCACTTTGATCAACCCGAGATGGGCTGTTTTTGGGCGCCTCTAATAGTACTGTCCAGCTGGTGGAGCTACTTCCGCTTCAGCAATATCGCTTTTTCTTCAGCTAATATATATTTTCTCTTATGCGATGTGTTATTTTTTAATTAACGCAATATCCAAAGAAGCTGTTTCAATTGAGTTTTTAGAATTTTATAATTTCTGTTATTAATTTGTGAGAAAACTAGAAAAAAAATCACTGAATAAAAAAGCACTCGTCTACTGACATTTGACAAATTGCCCTGATTGGGAATGACAGCTGTTACCTTGCCACAGTTTAAAAGTTATAAATTACAAATAAAATTACAGACGTGTTTACACCGAGCGCCTGAAAAGGGCGGTTTTGGCAAAGAACGTAGATAACAAGAAGGGACAACTCGTTATAATTGTAGGGAAAGTGCGCTCAAGGGGCGTGCCTTCTCTTTTCATCTAATCAAAAAATGCACTAGGGCAAAATAGAAGGCACGCCCCTGTTGAGCACATTCGCTACAATTATAACGAGTTGTCCCTTCTTGTTATTTACGTTCTTTGGGACAGCTGATCAGAATAGTAAAAAAAAATTGCTAGGTGAATTTACTTGAGCGTGTCAGATTAAGAAATGGTGGAAAAAAGTGCACAGTACAACAACAGCACTTAACGCCATAAACAATCAGATAACACGTGGCCTTAGCCGTAACCGTCCTGTGAGAGAACTATCCCAGTAACGTTGGACCGGTAAAAAGCGTTGGACACCGTCAGCCACTCCACGTTACTAGAAGATATAAAGGCTTCTTTTCTCCCACACAGGCTCAAACGGTGGTCGGCGAATTATCTGAGTAGTCGACACTCGTCGGTAATGTTTAGAGACAAATCGAGCAAACACAGAAAAATAAAACAGGGTTGTGTCCTTTCCCCGCTACTGTTTAACTTTTACATTTCAAAGCTCCCTCAACCACCAGAGGGAGTCTCGATTGTCTCTTACGCCGACGATTGCTCGATCATGGCGACTGGGAATGGAATTGATGACTTGTGTTCGAAAGTAAACGGGTATCTCTCTCCGAGCTTTCTCGCTTCTTCACTGCAAGGAGCCTAACCCTCTCCCTACGAACTCCTCTGCGACCTTGTTCACCACCTGGACCAAGGAGGTCAGGCTACCGCTGGGAATTTACGCCGATTATACACCAATCCCGACGGTTAATAACTCCAAAATACTTGGAGTAACCTTCGACAGTCTGCTCTCCTTCTCTGCGCACGCAACCGCTATAGTCAACAAGTACAGAGCTGCAACAAGCTCCTCAGGTCGCTAGCCGGCAGCACTTGGGGCAAAGACAAAGTAACGTTGCTGGCAACATACAAGGCAATACACCGGCCGGTTTTAAATTACGCAGCACCAGTGCGGTCGCCGGGGACTAATAGGACGCAGTGGGTGAAGCTGCAGACGACGCAAAATACCGCACTACGGACACCACCTACACGAAGAGGCGAAATTGCTCCCGATCAAGGAGCACAATACAATGCTCTGCAAGTAGTTCCTTGTTGGGAGCCATAGACGTGGTCACCCAAATGGGCAACTGCTTGCTCGCCCAGGCACGTCAGGAGGCATTTCTACGAACTGACGGACGAAGTCCAGAGGTTTATTAAAAACCCCCTGGACCCGTCAGCTTATCGATAGTCCCTGAACGGCATTCACAGAGAGTCAGACTCGAGTTATGTAGGCTCCAGACCTGTGAATGCCGTTCTAGGCACACAACCACCGGACATTGGCGAGACGGAGCTTTATCTGCCTCGAGATACAAAAAGCACAATAGCCCAACTTCGCTCTGGCGACTGCAGCAGGTTGAACACACTAAACGCAAGTGTACCAAATAAGTGTCCGGCATGCGGAGAGACACCCCATGACTCGAAACATCTCTTCTTTGGCCGGAAAACCCAACAACTCTAACGCCTTTGTCCCTGTGGACTAACCCTATTCAGGCTGCACTCTTCTTAGGGCTGCCGTTAGTGGAACTTGACGACAACGACTGAGATATTAACCGATATGGGCGGGGTTGTTGTAGCCGCTACAACAACAACAACAAATGGTAGGTTGATTACATGCTGAAAAGTGACGCTTTGAGCATGACACAAGATATAGGGAAGGTTGCAAACTTGCAAAAAAAACGTTACCTTGACATTCTCGAGCGCGATCTATTTTTTTTTATTATACAGAAAAAAGCTGAAGTATAACAAAAAGTATATAATCTGAAGATTTCCACAAGCAGGAGTAACAAAAATCGTCAACAGAGATTAGCGCGTGCATGTGCTGTTAAAACTAGTACAGATTTTTCTACGAAATTTGTTATTTTCTGATTTCTTTGCTGTTTTCCGTTCATATTATTTGTCACAGTCGTATGACTGTAAGTATACCCAGCGGACCAAATGCTCGCAAATGATACCAGTTGAGAGTGAAATGTGGGAATTGACTCAAACAAACTCTCGCTAAAGGCTCGTGTTTGGCTCGTGTGATACTCCACTGTATATGTACATTAAGGCGGGTCGAAAATCTAATTTTTCTCAAATCCCTTTGTAATAGTGGAAATATATTGTATCATGAAGTCAACAAGAAGCTTGCAAAATATTAGTATTTTATTTTAATTGTGAGAGCCCGCGCATCGACCGCCAAGTGACCCACAGCACACTAGTCGAACAAGACCAATTCTTGTTAAAAATTCTGGGTCCAGTAAAAAGGGTTGTTCATATTATTAGATAATGAATCCGTTAACGCAAAATATAAGATCGCAGCACTTTAGCTTACCGTTAATCTCAAACTTATCTATTTTCAAGAAAATTGTAATTGTTCTCTTGATAATTGCACTGGCCTATAGTCAAAAGATGTAAAGAACAGCATTAATATTGCTGGCGTGCATTTAGATCGCTAGTTCCAAATATTCTAATCTTTTTTTAATATTGGCTATAGTTTGCGAATTTTTGCAAATTTAGGAACAATTTCGGTAGCTCTAATAGAATAACCATTATTTTCCATCAACGTGGAAAAATTGTGTTTATGCAAACGAGTATGGAAACACTGAACAGGCACAACTTCTACAAACACTAATCAGTTTACTTATGTTTATGCATACAATATAAAAATTGCAAATATAGCAAAATGACAAAAAAATTTTGTTTACAATTTTTTTATTTTAAAATAATTGGTTTATAATCTGAACGATTTTCATCATATTATTATCATAAATCAGTAACAGTAAGTCGCGCCTTCAATTTGATAATTATTACGTACCCATCGAGTAACATTTACCAAAGTTATATCGAAAAAATTAAGTGGATTTCCAGTTTTTTTCTAAAAAAATTTCTCTTCAATTGTATAAATAACCTTTAAATAAAAGAACCGGATTACAGAAAACTGTGCCAGCCAGTGACTTTTCATTAAAGCTGAATGCAAAGCAATATCGTCCAATTGGAGAGTCCTCAAAAGGATTTCCCAGGATATGTTAAAGACTATTGCTAAATTTAATAGTTCTTAATTTGATATATCGTTCTGTTCATAACAGCGGTGTTTTTGTTTACTTAATTTATTTTCTCTCATTTTAATTTTCTTTTTTACTTAATTTAGACTGTAATGCTTTAAAAGGAAAACAAAATATCTTTCCAATCATATTTTATGATATTTTGGTTTATTTCCTAATGAAACTGTTGTTGAACAAATATTTTCCCGCTTCATTTTCGCGGTTTTCTTTTCCTACATATATTTCTTTTTGTGAGAGCTAGCAAATAAGTGACTTTTTTGGGACAAGAAATATATTGGCGTTAAAACACGTCGATTGATACCTTGACTTCTTTGGATGAGTTTGGGCAGGTTCCGCCCATGATAAAAACATTACAAGGTAAATTTATTCTCTCAATTCATCGGCCATGATTTTTTTCTGACGTTTGCAAGCATTTTAAAATCGTATAAAATTTTAAACAAAAAAATTAAATTGTACACAATTGTTGTTTGAGATTGAAAATGAGAATGTGTGTGTGAGTTTGAATTTTCAAATTATATTGCTGGCAAACGTCAGACTGCCTCTCAATGGTTTTATCTTGTTATGTTTTTATCATGGGTTCCGCTAAAGTGCACTTTTACCCACGTGTCGATATTGAATGACAAAAATCGACTAGAAAATCGACCCGTGCTAAGGTAGTTTAAACGCCCCTATTCCCACACCACTAACAAAATTCAACGGCTGACTATTGCCTTTACTACTCTGCCTAATACTATCACCCGATTTACATGATTCAAGTACTTGAAAGCAATTCTTGCTCATTCTCTTTTGTGTTTTCTATTTGCTTTTACACGTTTCAATTCTGTTGAATTCAAGTTTTTGGTTCTTTAAATGGGAAGCAACGAAAATGCCAAAAGCAAAGCAAGAAAGTTGAAACGACTTGACGGTACAGACGCATGTGTACTCGTCCCTTTTCTTCACACCCCCTCTCTTCCACATGCGAGCAGAATTGAATTCAATACTTGAACTGTGTAAAAGCAGTCTATGCCGCAAACTTATTAAGCTGGGATCACACGATTTGTACATTTGGCTAAAAATTTGTCAAATTCGTAGACAAATCATGTGAACGCTAAATTACATTTGTCATTTATCAGAAAAGCCAAATATTTGCCTTCTGTCGGCAAATGAAAAACAACCCTGGTGGCCAAATCGTGTGAACGCAATGCTGCTACATAAGCCAAATAAAAATTAAGCAAATGACCAAATATCTAATTTGCCACTTGATGACAAATGACAGTGACAAATATACAAATATTGTTGAGCGGTATTGCCTTCGTGCTTGTGAACATTTGTATTTTCCAATTTTGGCAAAATTTTAATATTTAATATAATATTCGTATCCGAAAACTAACGAAAAATCTCACGTTATTTGAAAACAATAATTTTAAAGTATTTGCTCAAACTGAACATTTGAAACATGTACATATAAGTATTCGACTGTAGCTGAGTTTGCAGAGAAGTGTGCGACTATTTTTAAGCTTTCATGAGGTCCCAGGTTCTTATGCCGGCAGACGAACATATTAAAAAGTATTTATAAAAGTATAATTAATTTCTGAGTAAAATTAACTATGAAAAAGCATATGTGAAGTTCAGAATAAAATATAATATAATAAAATATAAAAATATATTTACATATATGCTCGGACGATTTTTAATATTTTTCATCCGTAAGCAAATCTTCAGTACCATAAAAGATTCAAACACATCAAAGTACAAGCAATGCAAAGTCCAAGCTAGTGGTACTCCACTGTACATGTGTATATGAAAGTATGCATGTATGCGTGTAAAAAATGTCAATTCCAGTTGGTCTTTAACCCATTTTAGCGGACATAGTTTTGTTGGTTTCAGCTGGTTCCAACTGTTAATGAAGCACAATTTTTATGGTTAATCTTGATGAAAGTTACATGTATCGTCGAGAACATGGTTACATGCAGAATTTTAAATTAATTAATATTATTCTCCATACAAAATGTACGAGTATTGCTTTATTAAATGCAAACTTATGCGAAAATCTAAATATTTCGTGAATGTAGGGTTAATATTTTCGCGCACGTGCCAATCTGGTGTCGATTCCCAGAAATTGAATAATTTGTGTGTGGATGGGAGCGGCGAGGGGAAGACGAAAGCCGACCAATCGCACATTTGTATGTACATATATATGTTACATACATACATTACATACCTACATATTTACAAAGGCATGTGTATATATGTACGTACAAATTTATGCGTTTGGCTTTTTGCATGAATAGAAAATTTGATTGCAGAAATAATTTTAATGAAATTAATTTTACAAACACATTTGTACTATATAATATTAAGTTTATTAGTTAATATCGGTATTTTGATAAGAAGCCATAACTTGTTAGACACACATACGTATATACACGGGCAATCAAAAGTGATTGCATGGTTCTTTTTTGTATAATATTTACAATGTTTTTCAAGTAAACATTTTTTTGTTATTTTTTTATAAAAATATGGTTCGTGCTTTAATCGAAACCACATAAGTCAAACTTTAAAAATTTATACAGAACGTAGAAAAATTCAACAAATATTCATCTAAATTTTCTACTTTTTAATCTAAATTTTTAGAAAGTTTTGGGTACGCAGATAGATTGGGTATGTATGTAATTTTAGTGAAACAAGTGAAACTTTTAAGCGGATAAAAGATCGCTTTAATTTTTAATGAATTTTTTTCCGACGTATTTTGCGGTTTTATGCATATAACAGGTGTAATTTATAAAATATAGTATTTATTTTTTGTTTTACTATTTTGTTTGCAAACGGTCTTGCGCATTTTATTCTACAAGAAATTCGCTTTTATGTATATTGTAAAAAGTACAAGCCGTCCGCAACAAAAAATCATTAAAAATCTACGCGATGTTTTAGCCGCTTAAAACTTGCACTTGCTTTTCTACCGATCTATCATTCTAAAAACTCAAATTAAAAAGTTCAAAACTTAGACGAAAATTTGTTGAATTTTTTTAAGTTTTGTATAAAATTTGACTTATGTGGTTTTGATTAAAACATGAACCATATTTTTATACAACAAAATAACGAAAAAATTTTAACCGCGCGCAGCATTGTTTATTTGCATATGTGCATACATATAAATGCATCTACATAGGTATGTATATGTATTTACAAACATTTTTATGCGCTTGCCTTTTAGCGTGTTTAAAATTTTTTCAATGAAGAATTTACTAATTGTTGACGAAAATATGGTTTACAAAATTTTCGCAAATTTATATTAGTTAATTGGTTTTTTTTATGAAAATAACGTTTTCCCAAAATTTATCCAGAAATTTTTTGTAATAATTAATTAATGTTTTCGATTTAATTCAATGAAAGGGGCATTAAAATAACTATCAAAAGTCATTTTTGTTGATAGATATAAACATGCACAAAAATAACATTTCACAATTGCTAATTTATTCAAATTCTGTTATTTTGTGCCGCTCTGCGCTCACGCTGTTAAAAAATGGTGAACTTCTAGAGCTATCGATGTTAAAAATTTAACGTGGTGAACTTCTAGAGGATTTCTGATCTATTACAAAATACCAACGAGTAGCGTGTTGCTGCTTCTCTGTATTAAACGTTCTCTGGTCAAAATCGTCCCGGCACATTTTCAAGGTAACGAGTTGTCGCTTCTTATACATTTACGTTCTTTGTTCAAAGTAACGAGTTGTCGCTTCTTATACATTTACGTTCTTTGTTTGATGGAGATTTACAAAAAATCCTTTACAAATGATTCGACGTTTTGATGTAAAAACGCCCAGTCTGGCAGCCATGCTCCCAAGCAACTCTGTGTGGAGAGAAATTTGTTTAGAATCAAATTTCAAAGCAAAATTTCAACAAAAACAATTATTGTTGTTTCTTTTCTATTTGCTACAAAATAAAAACTTGCGATTGTCAAAGCTCAAATCATTGTCAAAAGTGAAGAAGAGCAGACGAAAAAGGTACACATTTGGAAATACAGAACGAAGGATTTTATTTCTGAAGTAGTAGATTTGCATAGAACATTCGACTGACTAATCGCATGTGAGTGAAAATAAAATTGTGATAATCGTTGTGAAATGTTGAAAATTTTCATAATAACGTATACAAGAAGAAATTGTGCAGTATAGTTACATAAAATTGTGAAAAGGGGCTAGGTGTGGGAGGCGAACGTCGTAAATTCGCTTTCTCATGTCCAACACCTCTACAACCAGAATAAAAATCGATTACTGAATATGGCAATTTGTCTGACAGTAACTAATCCTTTGGGAAAAACCATGGATAGAGTGTACCAATGCAAGTGGATTGGAGGCACAACAGCACCACATCATAGAAAAAATACACAACGAAATAATTGTCTATGGAGAAGCCCTTCATTGGGCAATGATAGCAGAAAAGACAGCACCATAGTGCGTGGCGGAGGCAATAGCGGGCAGCTTGTTTGTGGCCATGCAACACACATACTATACTCACTGCTGCTACTAGCAGCATTAACGCATACCGCCAATGCAACTGCAACGGATATTGCGCTGGACGCAAAGGCAACACTTACACATAGAATTGATAGTCTTAATTTGTTAGTTTACACCTTTTTGCTGACTTTAACCGTACTGACAATTTGGCTGTTCAAGCATCATCGTGTTTCCTGGTTACATGAAACTGGCCTTGCAGTTATTTATGGTAAGTTTAAATGGTACCATATGCCAATTATTTACTGTAATTGCATGCACACTTTATCAAACAGGGTAATGTCGCACTATAATTGTAAAAAAGGAAGCATACAACGCCACTCGAAATAAATCGATTCATTAAGCGCTGCGTTTGTTATAAAATTAGACAGTACACAGTTTACTGTGTGCAATACACCCCCTTCTCATGCTCCGATCATCCATTATTTGGTACTTAGTCGCGCTGACAATAATAAACGCAAATGCAGTCAGCGTTGTACAAACAAGTTTTTTATGATTCACTTATAGGTGGTGGAAGGTGTTGCGATAATAAAAGAATAATACACAAAGGAAGTATTAATATAATCATTTCATTGCTGCGTGGCACTGATAACAATGTTTTAGCTACTTTCATTTTCAAAAATACCTTGCGTTTTCAAACATTTGATACTTGCAAAGTAATAAAATAGCCGGCACTTATGCCCTTCTAGTGAATTTACTTTTTCACAATATTCCATGCAATTTTTTTTCGAAAGAAGTGCTTCTGATATCCGGGACACATATGGTGGAAATAAAAATAAATAAAACTATTAGTGAAATACAACTGAGTCCAACAGTTTTCCTTCGCTGTATCTTTAATTTCGAAGAATGCTTGTATGTACATATGTAGTAAACTCGTTAATCATAGCACCCGCTATTAACTCCACTTGCATAGAAACTTGGCTTAATAGATAATTAACATGTCAACAATAAATACATACCTACATATACTCGAATGAGTTAACACAATTTAAATTTTGACGTAAACAGTGTTCTATGGCTTATTATTTGCATTTGAATTCATAGACTTGTCTACATTTATGCACATACATTCATATGTACGTAGTATATACATATGTACATATGTTTATGTATGTATGCACTTATATATTTGCAATTTAAATGTATTTTTCTACGAAACATTATTGCAGCTGAACAAATTTCCGATTTACTCAGAATTTAATCAATAACGTTGTTGCTGTTGTTACCAATTAACCTAAGTATATGTAATAGTCACGTCCAGTGGTATTAAAAATTTGCTACTATAGAGTTATAATTCGTTTTATTTATTTATTTATTTAATCAGCATATTTTGCAAAATAAATTTGCAAAATATAATGTCAGCACCGGACGTCTAGGTCATTGAGTGCCATTGTTGATGTCGCTTTTAGTTAGATTTGATTATTGAGGTGATGAATTTCTAATGATTTTTCTATTACTTCGATGTTGCTATTGTTACAATCCAGGATGTTTTTAATGCTTTTATTAATCTTCGAGTTTGGGCATACTGTAAGTATGTGCTCTATCGTGAGTATTGTTGCACAAAATGAGCAAGATGGTGGTTGAGTTCTGGTGAAGATGTGGGCAGTGTTAAAAAGGGCAGTTCCAGTCCGAAGCCTAGCTAATTTGATGCATTGACTACGTGATAGTTTTGTGTTGTAGTTGTCCCTGGAAGTTGCGGCTTCTATTTGCAGAGCCTTTGTCGTTCTTAATATGATGCTCGCATGGCATGGGACTTCTGGTATCAGGGGAAACTTAAAACATTCTTTGGCGGCTTGGTCGGCTCTTTCGTTGCCTACTATTCCAGTGTGTCCGGGGACCCACAGAAGTTTTATTGGTTGCTTTAGAGTATCCTCTGACACGAAACTGTGGGCTTCATTGCTTTTATTTGCAATTGCATTGAGGGCGCTAAGGCTGTCTGAGCAGATAATTGCTTTCTTATCAAGACTTGCGGCAAAGGATATTGCGTATTTGATTGCAGTTAGTTCGGTGCAGAAAACGCTCGCATGCATTGGGAGCAAAGCTTGATGGACCACCCTGAATTGCCCGCCCCTTTCCTGAGCCACTACGGCATAAGATGGGGTGTCGCATGTTACCGATCCATCTGTAAATATTACTAATTGTTGGTCTGTATCATTGATGATCTGAAGAAAGCTTTGGACATATGCTTCTCGTGTATTTAAGATCTTTTTTGTTGAGTGTAGTGATGTATCTATCGTAATAAGATGTGTTGTATCTTTTTTGTTTTTAGACGGTTTTGCTGGAATAGGGATGTGAGCGTCATGTAGCATTTGTGTTATTCTTTTTAAACTGCATGTTTTGTGTATGGGTACGCGATCGTTTACTATTCTGTCGAGAAAATTCCAGATGATATCGTGAAGTGGATGCTCATAATTGGTAATGGATTTCGCGGCTAGATTTGAGGAATTTTTAAACCGCAGACTTTGAAAATCTGTGATTCGCGCTTCTATTTTGAGCGTGGGAATGGGAGTTGTTTTAAGTAGTCCAGAGGCTGTTCTGTAGCATTTATATAGTTCGGTATTGAGTGTTTTGATATTTTTGTTAGACGTCCAGCCGTATAGTGTGATGCAGTGTTGTAAAATACCTTCAGTGAGTGTACGACAAATAGCAATTGCGGTGTCTATGTGTGGGCCTTTTCGTTTAGTGCACATGACTTTGAGTACATTGTTGACTTTCTTAAGCTTGTCTTTTAGGACATTAATATGATTGTTCCACAACATATTTTTTGAAAACTGTATTCCTAGTATTCTCAAGCTATTTTGTAAAGGTATTCTACGTCCTCGAATAAGGATTGAACTGGCATTGCAATTATTTTTCCGGCAAACATGGAGGGCTGTTGTTGCTTCAATGGGTACTGAGGCGCCTGTGTCCATGGCCCACTTATTTATATTTTCGTCCAATTTTTGCAAACTTTGCTCGACCTCTTCATGTGTTCCAGACGCAGCTGCAAAGATATTGTCTGCATATATACCTATATACGAAATACCTTGCATATTCTTTATCTGCTTTAGTAAGGAATTAGCGTAAAACGTATAAAGTACTACTGAAAGAGGCGAACCCTGTGGAATTCCGTTTTCTAGTTTCCTTTCCTTTGAAAGGTATCCGTCGACTCTGGCTGTAATCCTTCGATACGAGAGGAAGGAGAGAGAGAGCTTAAGGATATTCATCGGTAGTCCACATTTATGCATTTCTTTTATTACTTCCGTAGAAACTACTCTATCGTATGCTTTTGCCAGGTCTGCTGAAAAAACGACCGTATGTTCTCTGCTTAAGTACTTCAGTTGTCCTTCTAATGTATGTGTAAGAGTGTGTACTCCATGTTTGGGGATAAATGCATGTTGTTCTGCTTCCAGCTTATTGCTGAAGCTCCTCCATATTCTGTTGGCTAGAATTTTATCAAAAGTTTTCGCTAATGTGGGCAAGAGGGATATTGGACGGTACCCTTCAAGAGAGTTTGGGTTTTTTCCGGGTTTTGGAACGGGAGTAAGGATTGCATGCTTCCATGCATGTGGGTATACTCCTGTATCTAAAATACGACTAAATAGACTGCATATACGGGATTTTAGGGTGATGGATGCGTTCTTTAACATTGAATAGGTTATTTTGTCATGGCTGGGAGTGGTTCCTTTAGAGGTTTTGAGAGCTGCCTCAAGTTCTTGGAGCGTAATATTTTGGGTTACTTGCTTCGACTGTGGCGTTTGTGGTAAATTCTCTACAATCAAGGAATTTTTTTTGGTCAATGATAGTTGACTCAAACGACTTATTCGAGCTTGCTGCGCTCCAATGTGCTCCTAGGGCTTCAGCAATCTGTTCCGGGTGCTTGAGTACAGCATTGGCAGTTAGTATCTGTGGGAAACAGGAGAAACGTTGACATTTGATCTTTTTGATCTTATGCCAAAGGTGCTTTGGATCGAGTGTGGGATTAATCGAGTTTAGAAACCGATTCCATGAATCTTGTTTGGCTTGTTTACATGCTCTTCGTACCGCCGCACATGATTTCCGAAATTCTACGCTATTGTGAGCTGTTTGGTTCTTTTTAAACTGTTTCCATCTCTCGTTTTTGACTTTAATAAGATTTGCAATCTGACTGTTGAACCAGACTGGGCTATTGTGCTTAGGTGCTGAAAAGGTGGTGGGCATGGCTTCGTTTGCCGCTTTCCTCAAAACTTTTTTTATTTGGGCGGCTTCTCTGTTGATGTTAACTGATTTAGTGAAATTTTGTGAGTAGACGTTAGTTTTATTTGTAAATAGATGCCAATTTGCCTTGTTAGTATTAAACCTGGGGTTGATTCTGCTGTTGATGTTCAGCATGTTGTTGAAAATTAGGATTGGAAAATGATCGCTAGACCCTGACGGAGGAAGACAATTCCATGTCAGAACCGGAGCTATACCTCCGCATGCCATTGAGACGTCAACGTTTGTTAAAGTATTTCTCGTGTTTAGCAGTGTGGGAGATCCGTCGTTGAGAATTACAAATTGTTTATCGTTTGCAAAGTCTTCCCATAATTTTCCGTTCTGATTTGTTTTCTTTGCACCCCACAAAGCGTTATGTGCGTTTAAGTCACCACCCAGTAAGTGATATCCGTTATGGTAGGTGTGTATATCGTCCAGGTGTTGAGCTGTTAAGTATAAGTCTATCTCGCGGTATATGTTGGTTATGTGCAGGTCTTTTAACGCGTGTATGGTGATAGATTGAAAGAGAAGATTGTTGTTAGATATTTTGTAATTAGAAGTATTCAAAGTTTCCTTTACGAGGATTGCAATACCCGCTTTGGAATATGAGTAAGTTTTGTTGAAGTGATACACTTTATAATGAGGAAGATGTAAGAGGTGTTTATTTTTTTCTATTATGTGGGTTTCTTGTAACATAATAATGTCGGGTTTATGTTTGGTTACGAGTAGCTCTAGTCCGAACTTATTGTTTAGAAATCCCTGCATATTCCATTGAAGAATTACGAGACTGATACCTAAATCCATAATTATTGTTATTATTTTTTTTTAAATTATTTTAATTTTATTTTTTATTGTTAGTTGTCTATAATTTAGGCTCTTCTTCGGAGTCCGAGACAGACATAAAATATTTGTCTGCTGATAGAAGTTGCTGAGTTATATTGCTGAGTGGAGATGCGCTAGTGTTGGTTTGTGTGTTGATTGGTGCTTTGCTGAAGTGTG